AAATGAAGAAAATGAAGCGGGCAACGAATACAATAGGATTAAGGCCCAATCTTCTTCATCATACTCTACTTCCAAAGTTTCCAAATTAGTGACGATTTCCTTAAATATAGTCAGATGATCTTCTAATGATCCTTCTTCTGCCATTCGATGAGAGTATAAACGTGGCTTCAAGTTCAACTTGCCTGTCAGGCTTTTAGTTATCCACAATTGCTCCAACCTCAACCATAAAGCGGCCGTTGAATTCTCCTTCAAAACGTTCTCAAGAATAGTATTTGATAGATGAAGATGAATGTGAGAAAGTTCCTTCTTATCCTTCAGTAATTTATCATCACCGGTCAAAGTTGGGGCATCTTGTCAATTTCGAGCAACGTGTCATCCAAATCCAGTTGTGCTAGTACTGCACGCATCTTAACCTGCAATGATGAAAATCTAGTGCTCCGATCAAAAAACGAAATGTCATACTTCATGGAACCCATCACGAATAAAAAACCTTGAACAAATCAAACATTGCGCTCTTGCGGAACTGCTGAACCTGGCGCTCTGATACCAATTGTTGTGAAACAAACCATCGGATTGAGATGTTGAAGTTATATGACAAATAATAATGAAATATATGATCAAGCAAAAGAATACTAAAGACAAGAAGATTACAAAGGAATTAAGATATTTTATTGACTCAAGAATAATGGAGAAGAGAGAAAAATTATAATATATCCTATAATTCTAGTAATCTATTTTCTCATGCCATAAAATTGTATAAAAGTACCCAATATTTATAGGGAACGTGTAGGGGATGTCCAAATCCTCCTAGTAGAATTGTTGATGAAGTAGGATACCAAAAAATCGAGTCCAAAACAAATTATAACTCCCAATGGGCTTCCAAAATAAAATTTCAACTTGACATAGGACTCCAATAGTACTCCAAGCTAAATTTTTCTTGATGTCCACTTCAATTAGAATTCTTCAATTACTTCAATAAGGAATTCGACTCACACCCAAATTCTAACACACTCCAATAGCAGATGTTTTCACTCAA